GTCTCACGTGCACCATACCGCCTACTGGACAGACAACTGATCCGCCCTTCCACCTCTCCCTACGGTGCACCGGTTCTCTTCACTCCAAAGCCGGACGGCAGTTTACGGATGTGCATCGACTACTGGGCATTGAACAAACAGACAATCAAGAAAAAAATACCCCATACCGCGCATAGACGATCTTCTAGACCAACTGCGTGGTGCAACGGTGTTTCCGAAGCTGGACCTACGGTCGGGTTACTGGCAGTCCAAGATGGCAGACAACTCGATCCACAAGACGGCGTTCCGTACCAGATACGGCTCCTACGAATACTTAGTGATGCCGTTCGGACACTGCAACGCACCAGCGACATTCCAGGCGGAGATGAATCACATCATATGGCCCCTGCTGGACGAGTGCGTAGTAGTGTACCTGGACGACATTCTCATCTACTCCAAGAACATGAAGGAGCACGTGGAGCATCTGCGGAAAGTCTTCGAGATCCTGCGGGAGAACAACTTCTACGTGAAGCTGTCGAAGAGCGAAGCCGTCAAGAAGTGGAAAGTTCCTGAGAACGTGAAGGAGTTGCAGCAGTTCCTAGGTTTCTCCAACTACTACAACAGGTTCGTGCCACAGTACGCGAAGATAGCAGCACCACTGACAAACTTACTGAAAAAGGATACACCCTATAAATGGGATACTCCTCATCAGCAAGCCATGGAGCAACTACAGACAGCACTGACTACTGCCCCAGTACTCATTGTCAAAATACGTTCTACATATTTATATAGTTGTTTGTAGGTGTGGTATAGATACATAATCTTGTTTGTGGTGCACCACTTCTTGCCTTGTTTCTTGTATAACTTGGGCCTTTGGCCCTTTATTCAAACCTCTTTGGCCATTCCTCTTGCCTAGCTCCTCTCGACATCCAAGATTCCTAGCTACACCCTAGGTTGCTATGTTAAGAGTTAGGAGCCTATTTTAACACTCATCCTACCGGATCCAGACAGAGATTACGTGGTGGAAGCAGACGCTAGTGACCAGGCAGTCGGAGCAGTACTGATGCAGAATCACGGACGCGGTTTGCAGCCCATCGCCTACCTCAGTAAGAAGCTACACAGAGCAGAACCGAATTACCCAATCCATGATAAGGAAGCCTTAGCGATAGTCACAGCCTTCAAGGCGTGGAGGTGTTACCTAGAGGGAGCCAAGACTACAGTCTATACTGACCACTGCAGTCTCAAGTACCTTAAGTCCCAGCCTACGCTCTCACAATGACAGCTGCGGTGGATGGACTTCCTGGAAACACACTTCCACTACGACATCATCTACAAGCCAGGGCTGCACAACAAGGCCGACGCACTAAGCCGCCCAGGGCACGTAGCAGGCATCCAGCTCGACGGGATGAACCCTCTGCTCAAGGGTCTATTCCAACATGGGTACTCTGTGGACGCAGAGATCACTACATCACAGAAACAGAAGCTGTTACAGTGGGAGAAAGACTTAGCTGTAAAGAAGGGTTCAGGAAATATTTGGGTACCGAACTATGCCCCACTCCGACAGCTCTTACTGGAAGAGTTTCACGACGTGGCATACGCGGGACATTTCGGGAGTAACAAGACGTTAGCAGGAATAGCGAAGTATTACTACTGGCCCCAGATGGCAGCAGACATGCAGCAGTTCATCACCTCATGCGACACGTGCCAGCGGATGAAGAGTAGCAAGCAGAAAAAACCAGGGTTACTTCAGCTTCTACCCGTACAGGAGCAGCCATGGCAAGTCGTTAGCTACGATTTTATCACCGGGCTTCCTTCGACCTCACGATGGCATGACGCTATACTCGTGGTGATCGATAAGTTCTCTGAAATGGGACATTTCATCCCGACCAGCGACACGGCTACAGCTGAAGCAATTGCTCGCCTCTTCTTCGACCGCATCATCACCATCCACGGCATTCCCGCTATACTGATCTCGGACAGAGACCCAAAATTCACTAGTAAGTTCTGGAGGGAACTCATGGGTTTATTGGGGACAAAGCTTGCAATGTCTTCAGCCTAAAACCCTTAGACTGACGGACAGACTGAGCGACCCAATCAGGTGGTTGAACAGTTACTACGCACAGCTTGCATGGACGACATCAGCCACTAGCATCTACAGTTACCGACGCTTGAGTTCGCTTACAACAACGTGTCAAATGCGGCCATAGGGAAATCTCCTTTCTTCCTATGCTACGGACGGGAACCACTTACACCACAGCAGCCAAACACACCGGTACACGTCCAAGCCGCACATGACTTCGTCAACACCATGCAGCAGCTATGGGAGAAGACTCAACGACGTCTCACCACGATGCAGAACTCCCAGAAGCAGTATGCAGATCGACAGCGACGAGATCACCCAGTAGTAGTCGGAGATCTGGTTCTTCTTGACACAAGCAACTTGGACTTGTCTCATCTACCGTCCAAGCTCCGACCTCGCTTCTGTGGTCCTTTTCGTGTTGAGGAGAATGTGACACCAGTAACGTTTCGCTTGCGCTTACCTACCACATGGAAGCTTCACAATGCTTTCCATGTTCAGCTACTGAAGCCCTACAAAGACATCAACCTACAGTTCCAGGGACGGCAGCTACCGCCACCACCACCTGTTCTCGTACAGGATGAACCAGAGTACGAGGTGGAACGCGTTCTTACTCATCGGCGCCGCGGTGGCACGACCCTCGAGTTCATGATACGCTGGAAGGGATACAACCCGTCGGAGGACAGTTGGGTTGCTGAAGCTGATATGGGCAACGCACGCCGTGCTCTCAAGATTTATCTTGTCAAGCAGGGTGTTTCTCACGCCACCCAGCTTTGAGGGGGGGACGTGTGAGAGTACGACGGCTTATGCTTGTTTTGCTTGCTTTCCTTTACATTATTATGCTTCATCTAGCTTAGGTTTATTTTATCATGCATGCTTTTGTTTGATTTCCTAAGTTAGGTGCTTTCCTATATTTTATTATAGTTATAGCACCGAACAAGGATTGCGTGCACCGAATTCGTGCTATTCGATTTCCCCCGAAAAGCTTCTACCGAATTCAAGAAGGCTCCATTCGGGATGCTTCGTGACCCTCGGAACCTTCACGTAACACCTAGGTTACTGGCCTTGTGTCGAGACTATATATAGCCTCGTGTTGTACCCAGGTGATCATTCAATACATTTCCTCATTTATGAACTCGATCCTATCGATCCTCACAGCGCCACTCCAGCGCATGTGTTCCAGGAGCTGCAGTGGCGCCAACCGTCACGGACTTTCCTCTCCCTTCTGTTTCGGAACTTGAGGACAGTTGCACATAAGTTGAAAGCGAAACCGTGCAGACAGGGCGTCATGCATGGAACGATAGTCTTACCGAGGACCTTCTAAACATAGTAATTGAAACACAGTTAGAGAATGGCTGGGCCCCGCATGCCATTATCGCGAAATGGACAGAAATGCATCAGAAATGGTGGAAATGCACGGGCCGCACATGTTCAATCGTGACCAATTGTACAACCACATCAAGGTGGTTAAATCAAGAGTGCACTTTGGGGGGGGTGGAGGTAGTGGTTTATCACTTTCCTCTTGATGATACCGGGTTTGTGGTTGGGCATGGGAGGTGACAAATAGGTATGCCCCAACCCCTCCGGAGAGTGGCGGGGTGTTCCGCCATGCGCAAAGGAAACATAGATTATCAGGACGCGTCACCTCTATGTAAAATTGCTGGATGAGGGATGGATCAGGACGCGTCACCTCGCGCTGACGGTGTTGACTGTAGACGTGCGAGATCGTGCGAAATCGTTCGAAAGACGTCGCCAAAACACTGTACAGTCCAAACACCGAACCAACTCAGGATCTTTCGCCAAATTGTTCAGAGAGGTAACGCGTCCTCACTTGCCTCTAAGGTTGCTTTTCCGCCCCGCGCTGAAACTCCTGCCCTTCCGTCGCCTCTTCCCCCAACACAACCCCGTGACGAATTTGTTCGAATTGGTCAGAATTCGACAGCAGATTCTCCAACCCTCGCTCCAGTGTTTCAGCAGGTTGGACCGTTCGCCAACCGATCAAACCACCCTAAAGGGTGTGCATAACCAATGCCCCCAAAAACCAACCCCAGGAATGTGCACCGCTACTTTAAGGGATGGGTGAAGGACATTAGGTACCTCCAGAGTCTAGTACATACAGGAGTCAGCTGGGACCCTGAAAATGGCTTCTTCAACCCACCCGCCGAAGTAGGTCTTTAGGGTTTGCAACGACCGTTTTGGCTCGAAGACCAGCCCGTTATATACGTGTTGCGCTCGGAGTTAGTGGGCCCTCCGTGGCCCTTCGCTGTACCTCTACTCCCCATCATCAATACTACACCCTCCTTTCTTTATACTTCCCCTCCTCTATTCCAACCGAATAGAGTCGTTGAGAAACTTGAACGGTTCGGCATCTGACCCCGATACTCTAAATGGGCTTCCAAAACCGCACCTTGGCTCTCCCTTGCTGCCCAGATCGTGCACAGGAGTGGCAGGCGTGGTCGGTTCGCCAGTGCATGCCATACGGGCCCCCTTACGTTCGTGAATGACCCAGAATGCGAGGGGGATGTCGGTGAAGTCAGTACGACACCACATCATCCAACCATAGAGGGAACAAGGGCTGAGGGGCAGCACAGTGGGGGGCATGATTTAAACAGTGTTGGGGGGGGGGGGAGGGGGGGGGGGGGGGGGGGAGGAGGTGAGGGTGGGGAATTAGGGCGTGGGGATGGTAGGGGTACCAGGGCGGGAAGAAGTGGGGAGGGCAGACGTGGAGGTGGGGGATCTGGAGGGGGGGTTCTTGGAGATGGAGGGCTAGTGGAGGGCGGACGTGGAGGGGTAGGACAAGTGGGGAGCGGACAGGGGGTGGGGGGACTTGGACATGGAGAGCGAGTGGAGGACGGAGGTGGGGAGGGCGGACTTGGGGGTGGGGGACCCGGAGATGGCGAGAGTGCAGGTGGGGAGGGCGGACGTGGGGGTGGGGGACTTGGAGATGGCGAGCGTGCCGATCAGAGTGTTCGGGGGGGGGGAGGGAGGGGGGGCGTGGGGGAGCGTGAGGAGGGCGGACGTGGGAGGGGGGGACGTGGAGGGGGGAGACGAGGGGGGGGGGGGGGGCGGACGTGGGGGGGGGGCGGACGGAGGGGCCGGGGCCGGGGACGTGGAGGCCGGGGACGTGGGGAGGGCGGACGTGGGCCTGGCGCACTTGGGGAGGGGGCACGTGGGGAGGGCGGGCGTGGGGAGGGGGCACGTGGGGAGGGTGGACGTGGGTAGGGAGGACGTGGGGAGGGAGCTGATGGGCATGGAGGACGAGGGGCTGTGGGTGGTGAGGGCGGTAATAGCCAGCGGGCGGACCCGCGGAGCCCCGCAAGTACATCGGCGGGCACACCCGCCCCAAGAAGCCAGGGCACCGCAGGTAACAGCGAGCATGGCCCCGCCTCGCCATTGAGTTGGAACAAGCGACATAAACGCACTGATGGCAACCAGGTCGCACATCAGTTGGAGGTACTTACAGCGGTGACCGAGCGAGGCATCACAATGCGCCACACGGGTGAGTCATGAGAACACCTCCCGTGCTCTCCCCTCCCCTGCTCTCCCCTCCCGTGCTCTCTCCTCACCTGCTCTCCCCTCTCGTGCTCTCCCCTCCCGTGCTCTCCTCTCCTCTGCTCTCCCCTCTCGTGCTCTCCCCTACCGTGCTCTCCCCTCCCCTGCTCTCCCCTCCCCTGCTCTCCCCTCCCGTGCTCTCCCCTCCTGTGCTCGGCCATCCCATGCTCTCCCCTCCTGTGCAATGATCTTTTAGCATAGTCGTAAACATTCTCTGCCTTACAGGCATGCACGCCCAAAATCAGCCCATAATCTTTCGGCTATGCCATCATTTCGCTGCTGGCCTATTCTTGATGAAGCCCGAGGGCTTGTGACCGGCTGCGGGACGGGTGCATTCTGCTGGCGGCTCTCCCTCTCCTGAATTCCCGCTTGTAGGTCCACATCATCTAGGAAGTCAGCGCCACCCTGTTGCTTGATGTAGTTGTGAATAATGCAGCACGCCTGTAGTAATGTACACTGCAATGCGAAACTGTAGGGTCGCATATGTTTGAGAATGGGAAACGGGCTTTGAGCTGGCCAAACGCACGCTCTACGTGCGAAAGCAGGGACGAGTGAGTCTTGTTGAACATTTTCTCTTTGTTCTGCGGTTGGAAGCCCGGCTCCTGCCATCGACGTTGATGGTATATGTGAGTCCTATAAGGAGCTAAGAAGTGAAGGTCATTTCGGAACCCTGAGTCGGCGAGAAGAAAGGTTCCTGGCGGGAGCTGCAACCCCCGGTTTAGGGCGTCCTGGAATAGCGTGGAATCGTGCGTCGATCCCTCCCAGCCTACCATGATGTAGATGAATTCGCCCGTGAAAGATTTAGCGGCACGCACGTTATGTGATACGTTTTTATGCCGGTCTAAGAAGGACTGTCGCTCGCTGTCTCTAATGCATGCAGGGATAAGGGTCCCACCTATGGCGCCTATGGTGCCTGAGAAGTGCATGTACCGTGGGTTGGTAGACAGATATAACTCATCACTGCTCGTTGGGAATTGTATGTACTCGTCGTACAACGAGCAAACTGCCCTCGCCGCGTTCTGAATGGTATGACTGATCGTGCTACCGCTCCGCTGCCAAGTCTCCTGCATCACCATATTCGATGCAGACTGCCCTATAAACTGTAGGAGGTTAGCGGATGTTCCTCAGGTGTCTGGCTGTGCCCAGCGGTGAGGAGGCCGCGACCCACGATGTTTAGTAGGCGGGGACCAGGTAGGGTTCCAAGCGCATACCACCATGCGCACGAGCCCCATGAAGTAGGTGATTGGCATACGCCGGACCACCTCTTGACAGATCGTGTTTGTCGGCCTTGGTGTAGATGGTTACACAACGGGAAACGCGCTGCAGCATAGTGATGCCCCACAAACTGGTTATGAGATCACCAATTAAAAGCGTTATCCACTTAGTTGATTCTTTCCGTTTCCGTTTGAAGACTCTATTAGTACCTACTAGTGGGTCGGAATCATAGGCGGGGTCCATGTATCGTAACTCCAAATTGATGGAGCAAGTTGCAGCAGTCTGTGAAATGGTGAAATGGGACTTGGTGGATTGGCTACAGATAGGTTGAACTTGAGCAGGCCTGTTTTTTTTTTTTTTTTTTCATGAACGGTTTTTACCCTACGATTTTTCTTTCATCCCACCAGTCAGTCATTCGCCAGTTAGCTCTAAAAAATCATGAAATGCGATTGGAAGGTGGGGAGGGTGGTTCTAGATTCCGTTGCCACCCCTCCCCTTTCTGGCGGGAAATTTCGTGCACCACCCAGCACGCCCAAACCTATTCGGCGAGTTCCGCCCCCGGTTCCTCATTCCACGTCCATCCCGATGCCCTCGATTGTCAAATGTGCTGGCGAACAGGGCCAACATTTGCAGCAGGGGGTATAAAAGCACTAACGCACTCGTGTCTAGTAGTTTCCATCGCGCCACTCAACGTTTAGAGCAGCTGGTATAAAAGCGTGGTCGCGCTCGTACCGACACTCAACATTCGGAGTAGCTAGTACAAAAGCGTGGCCGCACTCCTGTCTAGTAGTTTGCCTCGCCCACACTAAACATTTGCAGCAGCTGGTACAAAAGGGCTAATGTGCTCATGTCAAGTAGTTTGCCTCGCCCACACTCAACTTTTGCAGCAGATGGTATAAAGGCGTTAACGGGCTCGTACGTATCTAGTAGTTTGCCTCGCCCATACTTGCAGCAGCTGGCATAAAAGCGTGAACGCGCTCGTGTCTAGTAGTTTGCCTCGCCCACACTGAACGTTTGTAGCAGCGGGTATAAAAGAGCGGATATAAAAGCGCTAATGCGCTCGTCCCTAGTAGTTTGCCTCGCTAGCACTCAGAAGTAGCTGGTATAAAAGCGCGATCGCGCTCCTGTCTGCTAGTTTGCCTCGCCCACACTCAACATTTGCAGTAGCTGGTATAAAAGTCTAACGGGCTCGTGTCTAGTAGTTTGCCTCGCCCACACTCAACTTTTGCAGCAGGTGGTATAAAGGCGTTAACGGGCTCGTACGTGTCTAGTAGTTTGCCTCGCCCACACTTGCAGCAGCTGGCATAAAAGCGTTAACGCGCTCGTGTCTAGTAGTTTGCCTCGCCCACACTGAACGTTTGCAGCAGCGGGTAAAAAAGAGCGGATATAGATGTCAAACTTATGTTATAGCCTGTTTAGGCTGTAGTGGGTTAGACAATAGGGGGTACTACATTTCTAGGTTTCCCTATTTGTACCCAACTCATTTCTAGTCATTTCATTCCTCGTATTATTCTCACATGGTATAGAGCGGGTTCCCTAGTGGGACCGTTTTTTTTTTCCTAAGGGCCCACCACTACGAGTTTTTTCTTACTTACCTGCCCGAAGCGCGCTTAGCGCCGGCCTTTTTGCGCACTTCGCGGCCCCTCTTACGGCCCTTCGCGGCCCCTTCGCGGCCCTTCGCGGCCCCTTCGCGGCCCTTTGCGGCCTCTCTCGCGGCCCTTCGCGGCCCCTTCGCTGTCATTCGCGGCCCCTCTCGCGGCCCTTCGCGGCCCCCTTGCCGCCCTTCGCGGCCCCTTCGTGGCCCTTCGCGGCCCCCTCACGGCTCTTCGCGGCCCCTTCGCGGCCTTCGCGGCCCCCCCTTCGCGGCCCTTCGCGGCTCTTTGCCGCCCCTGCAGCATCTGCCGTCGCCGGCTCCCCGCGTCGACCCGCCGCTGCGGCCCCGCCCTGCCCCTCTCGCCGGTTGCGGCCTCCACCTGCAGCAGCCGCCGAGGAGCCCTGCAGCAGCTGCTGTCCCTGCCGCCGCCGCCGAGCCTGCCTCCGCCGGTGTTGCGAGCCGCCGCCGCCGCTGCCGTCACTACTGCCCCGGCCCTGCCCTGCAGCCGAGCCGCGGCCCTGCCCTACCGCCCAGTTGCGGCCCCGACCCTGCCGGCGCGCCTTCCCCTCCTGTCGCGGCCACCCTACCCACCCGCCCCTGGTAAGCGCACCGCCGAGCCGCGCCCTTTAGCCGAGTCGCGCTGCCGCTACTGCTGCTAGCCTGTTGCTGCTGCTGTCATGGCTAGTCCCAATGTGCTTACCTTCGATGCTGAGGGTCGAGCTGTCGACTTTGAGGTCTGGATCGATGATCTGCAGCTTTTCCTGCAGTGCGATAGCAAGGACGGTATCTCACTGTTTGATCTCACCTCTGGCGCCTCTGCTGCACCTGCTGCTGATGCTGCCAGTACTGTTCGCTCACAGTGGATCACGCGCGATGCTGCTGCCCGTCTTGCTGTCCGTAGTCACCTGCATTCTGCTGAGCGCGCACACTTTAGCCAGTACAAGACTGCTAGCACTCTGTACACTGCTGTTGTTGCGCGCTACTCCTCCCCTGCCACTGCTGCCCTTAGCCGCCTCATGCTGCCGTACCTGTTCCCTGACCTAGCCGCTTTTGCCACAGTCGCTGACCTCATTACGCACCTTCGCACTAGTGACACCCGCTACCGCGCTGCGCTTCCTACCGAGTTCTGCGCCAAGAACCCCCCCCCTATGTACATCACTCTCTACTACCTCGTTACCCGGCTCCCTGACTCCCTTTGCTCGGTCAGGGACCACTTCCTCTCTCTTTGCCCCACCACGCTCACCGTTGACCTCCTCGAGGAGCACCTCCTTGCAGCTGAGAAGAGTATAGTCGCTGTAGGAGCCTCTCGTGGTGACCCCCGTGCCCCTGTCTTTGAGGGGTGCTCCCCCGTCCCTCTTTTGCCCTCTGTTGCCTCTGCTGCTGCTGTCGACCTCGTTGGCACCGAGTCGGTCGGCACTGCGTCTGCTCCTAGTGGCAGGCGCCGCAACAGCAAGGGCAAGTGGAGCAAGGGGGGTGGAGGGGGCGGCGGGGGCGGCGGTAGTGGCGGTGGAGGAGGAGGAGGGGGTGGGGGTGGAGGTGGGAGTGGTGGCGGGACTGGGGGCTTCGGTGGAGGCGGTGGAGGTGGAGGCGGCGGAGGCAGCGGGAGTGGGGGTGGAGGTGGCGGCGGCGGCGGAGGAGGTGGGAGTCGCGGGGGTGGTGGTGGGCAGCGGGGAGGCTCTAGCGGTGGCCAGCGCCAGCAGCAGCAGCGCTCCCGTGAGACCCCGTCGCCTCAGCAGCTTCGTGAGTGGTACGCTGGGCGTGGGAGGTCTGGGGGTGCTGGTCCCTGCACCTACGTTCTTCGCACCGGCGACCGCAGTGGAGAGACGTGCGGAGGCCCGCACACCACACCACGCTGCTTCGGCCGCCTGACTGACGCCTGGCGCACTCAGTTCCCTAGCTCCTCGGAGATCCCTCGCTGGGATATTCTGCTTAAGTCGGGGGTTGCTATCTTTGATATTGATTATGATGCTATCCTTGCTGCTATGTATACTGTGTCTATTAGTGATGAGGGTGACTGTTACCTGTGTGTTCCGCCCGACCCGGGCATTGAGGCTGCTGCTCTAGGTGCTAGTGAGTCTGCTGCTCCAGGTGCTGGTGAGGCTGCTCTCTCAGGTACCGCGTCGACTCAGGTCTTGCACACTTTCACCCTTGACTCGGGTGCTTTCCGTTCCTTCTTTCGCGACTGCACCACACTCTCGCCGCTCAGTCGGCCGGTGGCAGTCTCTCTGGCTGACCCCTCTGGGGGACCAGTTGTGGCCCGTTCCTCCACTGTCCTCCCGTGTCCTGCTGCTCCGTCCGGCTCGCTGTCTGGTCTTCACCTCCCCTCGTTCTCTACGAACTTGGTGGCGGGTGCTGATCTTCAGGATGGGGGTGTTCACC